TTAACATACTTTCCCATAGTTTCTTTGAGTATGAACACTCAAAGAATAAGTGTTCATGAGTCTCAGTCACATCTTTTTCACACAGGACACATCCCTGTTCAACCTGAATTCCCCATTTCATCAATCTATCCACTGTTGCCAGTCTTCTATGCATTGCCATCCACATTATGAACTGTTGCTTTGGCAGACTACCATTGATCATTGTTACAGATTTTCACCTCACTTTAGGCCATTCTGGAGAGCTTTTTATATATGTTGTTTTGATGCTGAATTTCCCATTCTTCACACAGGCCTACATTCTTTGCATATCATTTGCCCACCATTCCCTTGCATTGAATATTTTCCTTACAAGCCAACTAGCTTGTTTAGGAACTTCCATACTTGCTATATCTTGCCTCTTTATGTATTGACCATGTATCCACTTTATCCAGAGTTTATCCTTCTTGTTCACTATTGCCTATAACAATTTTGTTATTGCTGCCTTGTTCCATGTTTCATAATTGATTATGTTTAGTCCTCCTGCTGCTTTTGGCTTACACAAAGTCTCCCAAGATATAGGATTTCTCTGAGTGTCCTCATTACTTCCAGTCTACAAATACCTCCTGCATGTGCTATCCACCATTTTAACAATCTTCTTAGGGATGAGGAATACTTGAGCCCAATAAGTCTGCATTTCAAACAAAACACTCTTGATAAGCTGTAATCTGCCTGCATATGAAAGGAACTTGGAGGTCCAGCTTCTAATTTTGTCCATAATTCTTTCCACCAGGGGCATACATTGTTGTATGCTGATCTTTTTTGCAGCCAATGGAACTCCCAAGGATTTGAATGGTAAGGTCCCTTCTGATAATTGCAATTCAGCTAACATCTTGTCTTTGAATTCCCTTTTAACTCCTGCTATATATAATGAACTTTTGTCCATATTAGCATGCAGTCCTGAAACCTCAGAGAATTGTTGGAAACATCTGATCAGCATCTTCATTGATATTTCATCAGCCCTGCAACACATAAGCAGGTCATCTGCAAAGCAGATGTGGACAATCTGGAGTTTGCTGCATTTAGGATGAAAATTGAATGTCTTTGTCAGAGCTTTCAGAGATCTGTTGAGATATTCCATGGCTAGAACAAACAGGTATACATGGGATCCCCTTGTCGTAAGCCTTTTCTTGCTTCAAACTTTTCAGTTAGACTTCCATTCAGCAATAATGAGTAGTTTACTACTAACACATGTCATAATCAATTCCACTAGCTTAAATGGAACACCAAATTCCAATAATACTGCTCTCATGAATCCCCATTCCACAGAATCGTAGGCTTTTCTAATGTCCACCTTTATCATACACCTAGGTGACACATTCTTCTGAGAATATCCTTTGATTAGTTCATGTGCCATTATCACATTATCTAGTATATTTCTCCCTTCAATAAAAGCAGACTGAGTAGGTCCAACCAGGTAATCCACCATCATTTTCAGTTTATTTGTTAAGAGTTTAGCTATGATCTTGTATACTGTTGAGCAACAAGCAATAGGCCTAAATTCCTTAACAAGACTGGATTTTTGACCTTTGGAATCAATGTGACAGTAGTGCAATTAACCTCCTTCATTAGCTTTCCTTTCTGAAAGAAATTCTGCACAGCATCTGTAACTTCTTGCCCTATGATTGACCAGTACTCCTTGAAAAATTCTGCAGGATACCCATCAATGCCTGGTGCCTTGTCATTAGGCATGTTCCTCACTATTTGACTTATTTCCTCACTAGTAATTGGAGCACATTGTAATGCAGCTAACTTTGTTTCTTGCTTGTCTAGCTCGCATACAAGCATGAAAGTACTTTGTATTTTGATCTCCTACTTGGATCCATGTAGCTCTTGATTTCTGCCTTAGTATTTGTTCTTGGACTGGTTCCCACTCCTCAATGTCTGCTAAGCACTTTCTTTCATCATCTATCAGTCCTGCATTAAAATAATCTTCATTCAATTTTCCTTGGACTAATTTAGTTTTGATAGCCGTGACATACTATTTGATTAGAGGTCTTGAAATTAGAATAAATTCGACCATGGATCACGAACTTTTGGTGATATTCTCTTTCTAATGTACGGGGAGATTGCTTTAATATCATTCGCCCTGCAGACATCTCCGAGTATGTGCTTCAGAGAAATTAGATAGGAGCAAATAAAAAACCTCTAGTAAAATACTCAAAAATCCAGCAGATAAAGTACACTTCCTCTGATCCATTTTAATTGATTTTTTTTATGATCCATAATATTTGATTTTTTTATATATCGAGAAGGAATTAAACTTTTTTTTTCAGAGCTGCCTTGGAGTAAACAAATTAAGGTTAATATAGTCAATTTCATTGTTGATTAATGCTAAAAGGAGGATTTTTATATTTGTGAAAATCATAATTAAAGTTAAATTTATTTTATTGAAATTCGGTCCACTTTAGTTGATTTTTTTGACTATTTTCACACATATTAAGGAATTCACCTTTTAGCATTAACTAACAATCAAATTGACCATATTAACCTTAATTTATTCACTGAAAGTATAACGAATACTCCTAGGCTGTTTACTCGAAGGGCAATTTGGAAAAAATAAGTTAATTCCTTCTTAATATCTGAAAAAATCAAATATTATGGACTACAAAAATGAGACCAAAAAATCAAGTAAAATAGACCGGAAGGAGTACACTTTTAAGTACCGATATATAATTTTGAGGTAAAGCAATTTTTTTTTTCAAAAGTAGAACTTGTAAATTGGACCACTAGAATGTCATATAAATTTAATTTTGCTAAGAAGAGATGAGTTCATAAACTCTAGGACGCAAGTTTAGCTCCGAAAAATCGCACCAAACTGAAAAGTCAAATCAAACTGATTAAAAGGTTTGGTTTGATTTGGTTTGGTGTTGAGTAAAAAAAATCCGAACCAAACCGACATATAAATATATAATTTTTATATATACTTTTAAGATTTTACATAGAATTTTCTTTAAAAAAATGTCTAGAAATATTTGAGATTCTCTTATGGGATATAATATTTAATAAAATATGAAGTGCTCCATATTTATTAACCTTCAATTGGGTTGTATGATCACTTTCTTATCAAGTGCTACTGAAATACGTCAATCTCTTTCTTCTTCCGTATTCATATGTCAAGCTCTATTAAATTCTTATATCTTTTTCGAATTTGAAGTGGATATTATTATTTAGGTATCATATTAATTTTTATGTTTAATTACTAAAATCGATTAACCTTGAAAGTATCAACGAAAATTATTGTCAAACGACTAAAAAACTAACTATCATGTGTTACTAAGTAAATTCACCCATAAAAATATTTAATAAATAATATGTTTGTCAATTTTTTATATTTTTACTAAATACATTTACTTATAAAAAATTTAACAAAGATTGAAATAATATTTAAGTAACAAAAGAACCCGAAGAACCCACCAAAATCGAACCAATCCAGACCGATATAGTTAGTTTGGCTTGGTTTTGATAAAAATCGAACCAACTCGGTTCATATACACTCCTAATCACATGTAGCTTTAGCAATTTAAATGTCCTACAATTGCACTTTGCAACCCCATCCTTTTGCAGTTCAAATATCAAGATCAACCATCATTCCCAATTTCAGATCTTCCACATATTCTCGAAGAATGACTTTTTCAAAGAATTGCCAACTTCAGTTTAATTTCTCATTTATTTATAGGATTTAATTCACGTATCAGTGCATATTATATTTGTTGTAGCGGGCAATGACGGCTCTAAAGGCTTTGAAGGCCCCAAATTCACTTAATCTCTTATTATTGTGACTATTATATACTATAAAATTTATATAAATAATTATTATAAGGAAAAGTGTTATCATATATTTTTTTTGTTATTTGATTGAGGTTATTTTATACCAATAAGTTCATAAATTATGATAATTTTCTCACTCATTAATTAGTATATCTGCTTCACTTTTCATTTTTAGTTTTATTCTTTTTATATAGGAATTAAGATATATATCGACAACTTCTTTTGCAATCATTTTTGAAACTGCATGAACACAAAAGCATTCATGCACCAGTTTTCTTTTAATGTAATTCAACATATTATAATAGAGTATTTACAATTAATTTTAGATATTTACTAATAAGTGTTATAGAATGAACTACAATTATCGTTTAAATGGATCGGAATGAGTAATATTTTTGACATTGTCAATGCTCAAAGCTTAAGTTATTACGCTGTGTACGTTTATTTCTTTTTCTTGATTGTGATGATAGCTAAATCAAATTTTTCACTTTGATTTCTAGACTCCAACATCCGATAATCCACCACTTTATTCTTTGTGCTTTTCTTCCCTTTTTTATTTTGAAATTCACCATTTTTTGTATTAAATGATTAATTAGTTGTTTAGAAAGCGAATTTTGTTGTTAGTGTAAAAAATTTATCAAAAATAAATTTAAAGGCCTCTTAATATAGTTTCTCGTTAGGCCACAAGATCTGTTGAGCCGCCCCTGTTACAGGGTCACTTGAATTATCTTTTAGGTAACTATTCCGTACTTGTCGTAGGTAGTTACACATAATTATCTCTTATACGACCCTGATAGTACTATAAAATATTATTTAGATTATCTGTGTATAAACGTAGACTCATAGTCATATTAAATTAATATTACGTGAGATGTTCTTGACAATCCTTTAGGACAACATCCTACATTCTGAATTTTTTTTTTTTTTTTCATTTTCTAGTGTTCGAAACTCACCTATTCAACTAATTCGGATTCTTCAATGTTTATTCAGAGTATAAAGGATATTAAAATAAATTTTTTGGGGATCATAACTTATGCTGAATAATTGGCAATGATAATTCATAGGATTCTACTGATTAGGAATGAAAGATTCTTAAGTTGGTATATTGCATGAGCTGTTAAACTTTCTTCACAGCTTGCAGAATAGCAACTACTAATAAAAACAAGAAAAAGACAATTATTAAAGCCAGAGTGTGATTATAACTTTTTTTTCTAAACTCTTCAAATTTATCTTGAAGTAAAATAATTGAACATGTCTATTACAATTTCATCAAAAATTAAATCACCAATGACCTTACCTATTTCCCTTTTCTCCTCAAGTCCACTTGACTGTTCAAAAGAATTCAACAGATCAAAATGCATTAAGTTTTTAATATTAGTTTCATTTATAGAGTCTTGACTCCATAACCTTATATTCTCCAATAGAAGCTCCCAAAGTTGCTCAGCTCCTAATATTCTTTGAAATCCTTCTTCTTCTTGAGGATCTTTCCTCTTCTGATTTTCCACCACTTCCTTCACACAGTCAAAAAGGAGCTGTCTTGATTTTTGTATTGCTTTCTTGTTATTAATGTACTGAGACTCAGGGCTTGTTTCCCCTGAACTAGTAACTGATTGGGTTGAAAATTCCTCTTGTAATTTCTTTGGCTTGAGACATTCTTGTTCTGTTTTGTTACATAAAAGTAGTTAGAGTTTACAACAACAAACACAGTTTAATCTCACTCGCGGGGTCTGGAAAGGGTAGAGCGTACACAGACCTTACCCTTACCTTAAGAAGGTAGAGAGTCATGTTTCCGAAAAGTAGTTAGAATTTAGAGTTTAAGATTTATATTAAAACTAAATTCTAAAGAGAGTTGCTATCATAAAAAATAGTACGAGTACTTACTTTTAAGATGTGGGGATTCGTCATCAGAAGATTCAGTTTCTTCTAGTACTGACACAGGACTGAGTTGCTTACTTTCTTCAAGAAAATCCAGTCTTAGCTTTCTGTCTTCACAAACCTGTTACCTTATGAACAAGCAATCTGAATTCATAACAGTAACGTCACAAAACTATTTTCTATCATGTTAAAGTTAATTTTACGTATGGCCTTATTCACTATAACAATAAATCCACAATCTATATTTTGGCACATTTAAGTTAATTTTAGTGTATGCTTTATCGACTATAAGTAAAGTCACAATCTATATTTTCTCACATTTAAGTTAATTTGAGTGTATGATCAGTTTGACTATAACAGTAATTTAAGTTAGTTGGTACAAAACCAAGTGATTACCTGTTTTTCAGTGATCAGAAAGTTGGCATCTGCAGCTTGTGGTGATAAATTATGTGCTTCTTCTACATCACAAGAATTGAATACACTAGTGTTGCTTGCTGAAGAAAAGTTGTCGTTATCTGCATTAGTATTATTGCCTTGGCCATTCTTGATTGTAGCATTATTGTGTTGTTCACTTGTCAAATTCTTGATTTTTTGGTTGTTAACAAGCTTATTCAACACAGATTTCACAATCTTAAAACAATTAGGAATAACTTTTCTTTTCTTCTTTGTACCACAAATGGCTGATTTCTTCAAGAATTTAGTGGTAGAATTTACAGAACAGCAGCGAAAATCGCCATTTGAGCTAAGGGTGTGGCCTCTTTCAAGAAGGTAAAGCTCTAAGGTAAAAGGTTGTTGTTTTTCTTGTAGGAATTCTCCTAGTTGTTTTGACATGTTTTGAACCATTTAGGTTGTAGTGTGGTTGCTAAAAGTAGAAATGAACTTGAACAAGTTATAATGTTGAATGAATTGCTGGTCAGGGCAAAAGGATAAGGAATTGGGCATTAATTGTGAGAGACAAGAATAAGTGTTTGGATCAGAGAGAAATAGAACACTGCAGATTTAAATTGAGGGGATGGGGCATTTGAGAAAAGACAATAACATGATTCGCTTTTGTGAAAAATATGGATTTTCATATAATTTTTTTTACCTAACATTGTGAGACCATGCAATCTGAAGTCAATTTGCTAGGCTTTTCTGTACTTAAATCTACCAAGCCTCGAGAAGGTGGATGGCCCCACCTCAAACAAAAAATGAATAGTTAAGCTAATCTTTTTTTGTATTATTATTGCAATTTAATGTGTTATCAGATTTTAAGCTCTCAGCATTGTTTAAGATGTCATAACACATTAGTTACAATTTTTATCAAGTCATTGGTAAGTCTTATCAAAGAAATTTATCTATAATTACTTATAAATAATTTGATCGTATAAATATATTTTTTACAGTACCAATGCATGGGACTTAGGGCCCGTTTGGCCATGAAAAAAGATTTCTTTTTTTCGAATTTTTTTTCATTTTTTTCAAAAATAGTGTTTGGCTATGAAATGTTTGATTTTCATTTGAAGATGAATTATGGAATTTTTTGAAATTTTAAAAAACTCCAGAATGCTATTTTTCAAAAATTTTACTTCACAACACTCACAAAAATTTAAAAGGGATTTTTTCCTAACTATACCATATATGAAACCTTATTACCAAAAATGTGTATATTTGCATTATTACCCGCCATGTTTATATTTTTCCTACAAAATTTATACCATCCATTAAATAGCCAATATTAAGAGCTGATTCCTTCCAAATTAGGTGCCAACAAATCTAGGATAAATATTTGAATAGCTTATTCCTTCCAAATTAGGCGCCTGCAAATTTGGGACTAAATATTTTTTCATATTCACATCAGATTCATCCCCCCTACTAACAAACTATTCTTCACGGATTAAATTGTGGGAAGCTTCTGATTTGACGCATGAACCAGTTGTTTGAGTTGCTTGACTTCCATGGCGCAGACTACTCCTTTGAACATTTCAACGACGACGAATAAAGAAAGTATTATTTGGAATTCTCTTCTCATTTAGGCATTTATGATTTTCTTAAATTAAAATCATGCGCCTTGACAAAATATTAGTCTGGTTTTTTCATGGCTGAAGTTGGCTGGTTTCCATGAGGGAAAGGGAGGAGCTCTTGTTCTTGACGGGAGTGAGCTGATGCGCAGCTGCTTGGGTCAACAAATTTTCTACAAAAAAATCTACAAATAAACTACAAATCAGTTTAAGTATGTATAAAGCAATATTGTTTTAAAGGGGTATCTACAAATTACTACATTTATACTACAATTAAACTGCAATCTATGTTGAAAAAAAATGTTGACTACAAAATTTTCTCCTCATCTACAAATTTTCTACAAAAAATGTACAAATAAACTACAAATCAGTTTACGTGTGTATAAGCAGTATTGTTTTTAAGGGTATCTACAAAATTACTATATTTATACTACAATTAAACTACAATCTATGTTGAAAAAAAATGTTGACTACAAAATTTTCTCTTCATCTACAAATTTTCTACAAAACATCCACAAATAAACTACATATTAATTTAATTATTGTATAAAACAGTATTGTTTTTAAGGGTATCTACAAAATTAGTACATTTATACTACAATTAAACTACAATCTATGTTGGAAAAAAATGTTGACTACAAATTTTTCCATGAAGAATTGTTCATTAGGATCTTGATTAGTAGAGTGAACTCAAGTGAAGGAGATAACAAACAAACAGTCGTAGCTCCATTCAATTCCATATTCCTCGATGGAGTTGATCGATTACTTCAAATCATGCAAGAAAGCTTCCCTGAATTAGGGTTAAAAAGAGAAGAAGGATTAGACTATGTTCAGAAGCCAATCCCCGAGGGAGGTCTCGAAAGATTATGGAGATTGTTCTTTGAAAATGGAGCTGAAGGAGCAGAAGTGGTCTTAAGTCCATATGGTGGAATGGCGACAGGTTAACTTGGAATACAGTACCAGTTGAATGGATTATAAAGATTACAATTAAACTATGAGGGGTATGGGTAAAAACGTGGGGGGGGGGGGGGGTGATGGGTTAGGAGAGAGAAACGTGGGATATATGGATACCTTTAATTAAGGAGTAAAAAACTGCCCATTAATTAGACCCTTAATTAATTATGGTATAGGATTGGTAATTTTGTATACGGGTTTGTAATTAAATCAAACCTTAAACATTAAGGGTAATAAGGTTTCATATATGGCATAGGAATGTAAAAATCCCAATTCAAAAAACAGCCCAAAATTATATTAATGTCCAAACACAACTTTAATTTTCAAATACCATTTTCACTTGAATTTTTTTTCACTTTTTTCTGAAATTTTACAATTCTTATTTCCAAACGCCCGCTTAAACTCAAAGAAAAAGCAGAAAAAGCAAGTAAGCAACAAAGAGGCATGAACTTACTATAGTATGTGTGGTCCTGATAGGTTTTGGTTTTATTCAAGAGCAACCTATCTAAAAAAGCAACAAAGGAACAAAATGAAAATTGATGACTTTTGCATGGGAAGTTTAATTTGGTAACGTGACTGGTTACTGATTTGTCTAAGCAATAAGCTAAAGGGAAAGATGAATATTTGTACTATAAAATAATTATTTTTCAACATACTATAAAATATATTGAACACAAAATTTTGAAAATGTCCATTCATAAGTCATAATCAACAAAATTGGGCATCCAGTTAAGTAAGTAGAGGGATAATATGTCTCTCCTATATGCATGTGCATCATCCTCAAACTTCGTTTTCATGTCCCCTTATCTTTTTCCTCTAGCTCTTTAATTTGACAAAAAAATTGGTGGGAAAATGTATGTGCTTTTTCTATTATATTTTGGGAAAGCCACATGGTAACATAAGACTCAAACCTACTTCGTTTCAACATTTTAAAATAACTCATTTTATTATGTAAAGATTGTAATAGTAAAATCTTGATAAGTTTGTGATGAAAGATAAAATAGCCATTTAATATACTAACCAAGGAGAAAAAGACGCTCGAATATGGAGATAGTTGCCTCCAATTAGCTTGAAAAACTATCGGAGCTCTCCCCCTTAAATAAAATCTTAAATGTGAATTAGTCGGGTCAATGAGTTTTGAATATCAGATAATTAAGAAAATGTTAGCTCGAAAGACGATGTCCAGCTATACTATAAATGCATAATCATATCTCTTACGTCCAATTAGTTTCTTGTCCATATTATATTATTAATTACACTGTGTGCAGGCTAAGTCATGTCGTGGTATTCTAAATATCTTTTCGTACACACATATGTCCACTTAAAAATCGTAAAACTAGCACGGGCTAGCCAGTTTTCGGACTGGTCATTCAAAAATAGCAAGCGTTTGTAAAGTCATTGAAAAATAGCCACTATTTTGCTGCAAAACGGAAAGTTCCAGCATAATATACTGGAAATCCATTTCACCTGTGTATGAACTTCCACCATATTATGCTGGAACTTCAACACGCTAAAAGTTTCAATATAATATACTGCTCCAATCTCCAGTATATATATTATGTTGGACCGGTATATTATACTGGAGTATTTTTTCGAATTTGAACAGTGTTTTCGTTCAGATTTATCTTTACATGAAAAGTGGCTAAATTTGGATTACTTTTGAAACTGTGACTATTGTTGAATGACCACTTGTAAATCTGGCTATTTTTGAATTTCTCCCTTAAAAATCTAATGATCCAGTGATTTAAACTTCATAAACTCCCATACATTTCTGTTGATTCTCAACTTTAAACCCTAAAAATCCTGGTCGAGCCTAATCAATAATATGTGGTTATGTGTGAGTATGAATGCAATGAACATAGAGCTTCAGCTACCGTTTGATTCTCATGCACCAACAAACAATAAATGTCTATGATTTTCAGAGCATATTTTTTTCCTCAATAATTGCTGAGACAAGGCGCTGTTTGTTTTCGTTATTATAAAATTACACCTCTTTTTGGGGCCAAATACGAGGAATTCTGCCAAAATCTTCCATTTTGTCTCATATTAGACGAATATTAAATCATCAACCTCTTCCCTTTTCTTTAGCTTTTAATTTGCCTAGATTTCTTCCTTTTGTGCAATAGTGTATTGTGGTTTAATTTTGGGGGTTGTTGAATTGATTTAGTATCACCAAACGCATCAAGGAATTTAATATGATTTCTTGTGTCTACTCTCCATCCACGGAGATAGATATTTACGTATAAACAAACTTGTCTTCCAATCGAGAACGTTTGGAACTCAGGTTTAGCTGGATAAAATCAGTACCCTAAACATCACAATCTAGCTTGTTTCTGTTAATCTTACTAGCCGAGAGAAATAGCCTTTTTATCTGTACAAGATAGTAGTAAAGCTGCGTACGTAACCATTAATGAAATTATGTTGTGGCTAAAAGCTCAACTCTTCAACGTTCTTTTCAATAAGGACAGCTTTTGATTCGGCGTTAAGAGAGACGTGAATATGTGAAATGACCAGCGTAAGATATCTAATGCGACTTCTCTTTTCAATTTCATTAATATTTGACAAGGACACTTATGTTTATTTTTCCTTGTTCCTTTTTCCCTATATTATCCGTCTGTGGTGAAATTGCAAGAAAGTTCAGGGAAAGAAAATGATATAATTGAGCTACAATATTGAACATGAGGTTATAGAGAAGACACGTTATACATCAATCTTCATTTCCTTTAAGAATAAGATGCCTACATCTAGAAGAAAAGAGAACTAAATGCAAAACAGTAAGGTACAAAAATACCCAAGTCTTCAAATCATTTACTCATACCGTCGGTAAACTCGCGTGAACATAATTGAATTCAAAAATCAAAATTTTAAATTAATAAATGAAGAATATTAGCAATATTACCTACTATACTTTTGTGACAAATTGTCGCAACTTTAACATAAATGTATAATTTTTTTTTTTTTAGAAAAAGAAAAGAAAAGTTCGCAATAGTATAGTAGCAACGCGAAAACTTAGTGGCTAGAGATGAAACATTCTCTGAACAGATAGAAAGAATCCACAGCTTATTACGACTTTTGCAGATTACAGCAGTTAGAGCAGACAGAGTTATG